ACACACACACACACACACACACACACACACACACACACACACACACACACACACACACACACACACAAAAATGATTTCAGTCAGTCAGCTCTGACAGCTACAAATTTTCTACCTGACAAATCTTCAGAACTCAATCAGTTTTTATCTGTGGAACCAGTGGTGGGCACCAGCCCTCTAAAGCACACACACACACACACACACACACACACACACACACACACAAATGAGCTACAGTGAAGGAAATAGCAGATGTGAGAAACTCCAGATGTGTAAATCACACTCTCAAGGTTACACACACTGATTGTAATTGTAAATGGACTATACTCAGCACCTTTCTATCCAACCAGAACACTCAAAGTGCTTTACAACACAATCTGTGCCGTCATTCACACAGCACTCTACTGCGTCTCTACACAAAGCTAATCTACATAGTCGGAACTAGTCTGTGCTTTAAATCACATTCATACACTGATGGAAGAGGAAACCATTTAAGTCTGTGCTAACATCCTTCCTTTTAATCAAGACCCCATTCTACACAAGCTTAAATTTTTATAGTTTTCAACCAAAGCCATCCAGGAAATCCAAACCAGCAAATAAAGTGTGATCTCAGGCATCAAAAATACAGTGTTTTAATTTTCTCTTATTTTTATTTGGCACTGTTGGTAGAGCTGGTGCCTCTCAACCAGGAGGTTGCCGGATCAAGTCCCAGCCTGGGACCTTTCTGGGTGGAGTTTGCATATTCTACCTGTGCATGTGTGGGTTTTTTCCATGTATTTCAGCTTCCTCTCACAGACCAAAAACATGCAGTGCTAGACTAAGTGATAACGCTGAATTTTTCTTGGTGTTGGTGAGAGAGTGTAATGTTTGTTTACGTGTGTCTGTGCCTGTGATAGACTTACAACCAGGGTGTACACCGCCCCTTACATAGTGACTGCTGGACATTGGCACCAGCAACCCGAAAAGGAAGAAGCAAGTAAAAGATGCGTGGCAAATAATGCTATATTTTATGATATATTGCCATACACCACATTACACAGGTCTAAGCTGTAGTTTTCTATGGCGAATAACTAAATTTTAACTGAAGGAGGACACCAGCAATCACAATGTATTTTCACATAAAAAATGCATGTTTTTCCAGCATATTCTAAATCTTCAGGTATATCTATCTAAAAATTGATCTATTTTCTTTACTCGCCTTTCTGTGCAGGAAGCTGGTGCCTGTACCTTCACCCTGGACAGTTCACAAGTCTTTCACAGAGCCTCCTTATTTATTTCAATCTCTGGCCTGAACTTCGACTGATCCATTACAATTCTATTGTTTATGTGTTTGAGTTTATTGTTCTGTTGCATCAACAGCTTCAACTGTTGGACCAATGGTCTTTCATTTGGGTCTAGAGTACTTTGGTCAGAATGGTTGACTCAAGGACTGAAAGGTGCCCAGGTCTTGTGGCTGCAAAACAAATCCATTCATCGACCCTCCACCACCAAGCTTGACAATTAGTATAATTTGCTTGAGTGGATATGCTGTTTGTTTTTCTCCAAACATATCTTTGTTATGGTTGTCTCATCTGTCAAAAGCACATAAGCACACATAGCACATACAGTAACTAACCATATAAACAACAGTGACAGCAGAGTAGATAGTCATTTTTTACACCCAATGATAWATAAAAGTGTGACGAGAGGCTCGTGTTGTTGGATGAGGAGTTGGAGGAAACATTTTCTTCCGTAGAGATGGAAAGATGTGAACGTCGGTTGCACATTACAACTTACTAATTTAACAACCGGCCTCAAGAGAACCATTTTCAGCAAAATGACATGTAAAACGACTTCGCTGCTTCRCATAAACAAACACGCCCACAAAGTTCTGACCATTCACACAATACGAGCCACATAGGTCTGTATAGAGTCCTAACTTGGGGTCAGGGTGTACAAGAMTGGATTTCAGCGGGAGGAAACAGATGAACGCTGTGCAATTTTTGTCATGAAACAGTGTCAACAAGATGTGAAAACTYAAGTATAAACTAGCCTTTAGCCATTTTCATTACATGATGTAGCTTTTCCCTGCCATTTAAAATGCATTTGACTAAGAAGTCATACAGCTGCTCAGGATGCTCTCACTAATGGTAGTGATGATGGTGGGGGGAATTCTTGCACGCTTCAATTGGCAAGTGTCAGCAGAGTAAAGAGCAAAGGACTGCGAACACATCCCTGAGGAGCCACTTTTGCTCAGTATGATGAAGCGTGACATCTTACTACCAACACAAACTGTCTGCTGTGGTTCTGACAGGAAGTCCAAACCTTAGTTACAGAGGAAGGTTTCACTGAGTTTTCACAAATGCTACTTTTCCAACACAATATGTGCTGCCAGGGTTTTGTTTTTCATAAAAAAGTGATTTTCTTTCAATAGTCCATTCAAACAAATCTTACATTGTATCTCCTTAGTTTTGGGTTAACTCATAGTATCTCAATGCTCCAGAAGATGAAATCAAACAGAAGTTCAATTTGTTTCTGAGTTTCTTATTGTTTTATAATATACCATACTACTGCAGCCTACTCTACAACTCGCACCCACTTGTGACATTTTCTTCTTTTACAAAATCACAGCCTGGGTTCACAAAAACTTCTGAAAGGTCCAAATCTGTTATTCAATAAAAACAAAACTTGACAATATAAAAAAAATAACAATAAACCACAGCATTGGAGCTTTCAAAATGTTGTGTAGTTAAATCCAAAGTTAAACTTTTGGATGAAGCTGTCCCTATTAGCAAAATTAAAATTTTCAACAAAAATGCCCTCTGCTTTTCTGTTTGTTGTCGTTGTATGAAAAAAAAGAAAAAAAGGAAAAAAAATTGTGTAGGTCTTCTTGACGGGTTCTTCTCTAAAGAAACGTTTCGTCTCTTCTCCAAGAGACTTCTTCAGTCTGAGAGTTTCAGGCACAATTCAGGCTTTTAAGCCCAGCCTCCGTGTGACTGATACTCACATCACATGGCTATCGTTGACTCCTAATTAACAGTTATTGTTAACAGGGGGGTGGAGTGATACTGACAATGGCCGTGCTGCAGGAGGGGGACAACTGAAAACGGAGGCCTCCACCTCTGTTTAATGGACTGTCTTTCTTCACAAAAATGGCTTCTTTCACTCCTCTCTCAAACCAACGTTCCTCTCTATCAAGAATGAGAACATCCTCATCTCTGAAAGAGTGACCGCTGGCCTGTAAATGAGTGAAAACTGCAGAGTTCTGGCCATTAGATGTAGCTCGTCTGTGTTGGGACATTCTTTTGAACAGTGGCTGCTTTGTTTCCCCGTCCATCATTAAACAGAGGTGGAGGCCTCCATTTTCAGTTGTCCCCCTCCTACAGCGCGGCCATTGCCAGTATCACTCCACCCCCTGTTAACAATAAGTGTTAATTAGGTGTCAACGATAGCCATGTGATGTGAGTATCAGTCACACGGAGGCAGTGCTTAAAAGCCTGAATTTTGCCTGAACCTCTCAGACTGAAGAAGTCTCTTGGAGAAGAGACGAAATGTTTCATTAGAGAAGAACCCGTCCAGAAGACCTATACAATTTTTTTCTTTTTGATTTTTTACCTGGATTACTGAGATGCATCAGGATGTTGTTGTTGTATAATTTTCCAATGTCTGCACATACATTTTTTAAATGTATAAAAGTGGCATTTGAAAACATAAACATTTGGTGCAAAATGTGTCTCAGATGATCTTGTAATCACTGATAAAAGAGGATGATTAAAAAGCAGTGTTTATGTGGCTGAAAGAGTAAGAAATAAGCCATGATAATAAGTGTGAGCTTTTAGCTGAATTAAATATTGCATAATTTAATGCTTTTGAGAGGTGATGTTTTGGTCTTTTTGAGAGTTTTTTTTTTAAACAAATATGACAAAACATGTACAGATTCGTCCACATTGTGCAGCATGCAGCCTGGCTGTGGTCCCAATATGCTAAAACATTTAGAGTTCGTGACTTTTTGTTCTCATACACAGTTTCATTTACTACTATCGCTGAATCAGCGAAGCATGAAGAACTTGCAGATCTGACTCCCCTTCGCCCTCCGCTGCTCTCACACTCATAGCTGTAGGCTGGATTGAGTATATCTGTCACATGACAGTAACCAGCAGTCATTCCTATTCAGATTTCATGTGCCGTACATTTATTATATAATTAACCCAAACAATATCTTTACATCCAACATTGTCCAAAAAGCCAGTATTTCTTCAAATATTAACCTGAATCCATTAAACAAAATTGCTGCTGTTTTGTTTTGGTGTTTGAAGTGTTAACCGTTATCTCTTAGCCAGAAGCCTCATGTGAATTGTGTCTAAATATAACTAAAGGAAGAAGAAATCGCTACTTAACAGAATGCAGGTTTTAATGCTTTTCATTTTAACATTGTACTCTTGAATAGTGGTGTCTGTCCCAGTCTTTACCTTTTTCATGTTCCATCATGTCATTTGTTGAAAACAATACTCGGAGAGATCACTTACCGAGTTAGATGAAGTAGCTCTGGGAGAATCTGTGATGTGAAGGCAACAAAGTAAAATGGACCTGTTTTCTGCCTGGAAGCTAATTTGGATATGAACCTACAGTCTGGTTTGGGACTTCCCCCTGTGCGTGATCCTCCACCCGAACATGCTCAAACACTGACAGTATGTTAGCCTGTATGGGTACAACTATAGACTATAATATGTTTGCAAATTAAAGCTAAAAATCAATTGTTCCAGCTTCTGTACTTTGTAAAGTAAGTTGTCCTAGCTGTGAAACACCTGATCCAGCCATTTACAACTAGACTGATGTGCAGAGATCCATACTTTCAGAAGATCAAAGCAGGGTTATAATGCAAACACGTTCTCACTCCCAACTCGCTTGGTCAGGTACCATCTGCGTCCAGTTTGACGGGTCGGGTACCCCCCTCATGTCAGCCTATTGCCGCCCGCGTCTTTT